TATGAAATAAAGTATACGTGGTTGATTTTATGAAAATGTTCGTGAATTTAAAATAAAAATTAATCATACAATAAACTAAAAATTAATTAAATACAATTAAAGTAATATTTTACTAATATTTTACTATAGTAAAATATTATTTTATTATTATTATATTATTGCAATGTATTGCAATTTGCACGTGACCGTGTAATCAAATTTAACTTTTATTCTAAATTTAGGGCTTACAAATTTTACAGATTGTTTATATGCATCATAATCGATGCGTGCATTGTTTAACGTTTAAAAAAAACATACATTTATTTTGCATGTTTTATAATTGCATACATTTCATTCACTTATTCGCGTCACGATCTTCATCTAATAACTCATCTTGAATTATCTAGCAGTATCAATACAATATGACGTATGTAAAATATGAGCATCCACACAATGCGGTTATAATTACTGTATTAAAATATTACTGACAAGGAACTATTGATATTTTTTATTCGTGTTACACTTCACTCTATTGAACTCTCTTGTTTAACTACAATTTTTATTCTTTATATTAATTTGTATTTATTGAATATTTTAGTAAATAATACGTGTATACATGTATTCTTGATCATTATTCGAAAAATAAATCTAATACTAATAAGATCGATGCTTATTTCTTAACTGAACAAGTACTTATGCTTATAATTTAATAGTGAAACATAAAACAACAATAATTTTTAATGGAGTTTAATAAAATCGTAGATAGATCTATATTGGCTATTTATAAAATATGTGTGTAATTGTATATATTAAATGGGTTTTATATAATATAATAACGTTTAAATGAATCGAAAGATAATTTTAATTTCAACTACTTATCTTAGCTGGTTTACTCAAGTTTTTGGGTAGGTTAATTATTTTTTTATTTTGAAGGAATTTAGCGATCTGGAATGGTAAAAACGGATTATCAGATACTGTCACACATTTAAGTGATACTCTTCCATAAACAAATAAATAATGCTCAAACGTATTATCTAAATATTATAATAGTAACTATATACATGTACATATACAAACCATGTATATCGTAAGTCTTTCAGTTATATGCTATGACTGATTGAGGTTGGAAAAATATTATTTTGTGTATATTTATTTTAAAATAATAAAACATAATAATGTTTTCATGTCAAAAATATAAAAACCTATATCATTTGCTCGTATTATATAGGTGTTTATATTTTTGACGTGAATTATTTGAAAAAAGTAATCATCCAGCAGTAATAATTTTAACAAAACGTATAATAAATATATTGACTATAAGATTTTATCATACATAAATATAAACATATATTTTAGTTATGTTTGTAGGTCTGTACACCAATTTCTCTTCGGCCTTCCAGAGAAGTATTTTTATTTGTTAAAAAATGATTATTATTTGTGTATAAAGTGCTTTTTCTACTTTATTAAGTATTTGAAATTTCAATGGCAGATTTTATCATAGAAATTTAAATATATTGATCGATACACGAAAATGACATAAAAATGATTTATGTGTTTCACAGGTTACGTATATTTATAAATAATGTATTATTTAGGTATAATGTTAAGATAAAATAAATTGTATACTAGTAATAGGCTCCAGACAAAATGTATACATTAAAATCAAAATTTGCCTTTTTCGTTTTTAATCTCAAAAAAATGTTCAACTAAAGACAATTAATTAATTACATATAAATATTATTAAATTATAAGAATTTTTTTTTTTATTACAATTAAATAATTCACATTTTTATTAAAATTTAAGTACCTCAAAATAATAAATTTTCTTCACAAAAATTTTATAAGCGATATAATGAATTCAACGGTTTTACTTTTTAAATAATTTACAGATAATACTATTGAAAATGCGTTGGCTCTGCTAGTATCATCAGCGCATAGTCCGTGTCGCCGTGCCAAAAATAAAATAATTTATATAATAAATAATAATATACCTAATATATTATTATTATCGAATGTCATTTCGGAGAAAAATCAAATGTTAATAGGTATACGTTATTTTCAGTTTAATTTTGGTGTATTATACATTGTACATAAACTTGTACGACCTGTACGTCCCAAATATAACTACATTTAGTTAATTGCCGGATACATATTAGTTATTATTTTTATAATTTAAAATTTATTTTCTATTATTATTTTTCAAAAACGGTTTTTGATTTTTGCATTAGCTAAAGTAGCAACATATTGTCCTAAATACGGCCCTGCCTACCATAGCTTGTGTTGCCTGTGCCTTCCACCGAGCCTGCATATACTTTAAGAGCGTATCAGTTATTATAACATCTTATCAGACTCGTACTACAATTTCTATATGACGTCATTTGATCAATTAATATTACAACACAAATATTTATTTATTTTTATTTTACTACACACAATATTTTAAAAAATATCTATAATATAAAATTGTCAAATACCGCCCTAGGCGTGCGCCTATATCACCTACCCCTCGAGCCGGCATTGACTAGCAGCATGATTTGTTTAAAGCATTCATCTTATAGTTTATAAAAAATAAAAATATTTAAATACATTGTGCAAAGTATGATTCGCTATAAAATTAAAACTAATTTTGAATCCATTGTAATAACCAAAAACCAAGCAAGTAGGCAAAATATGAAATCTAAAATCAGAATTTGTAAAATTAATATTTTTTTTTTTATAAATAGCTGATATTCTAATATATCTACTGCAAAGGTATAATACTAATAATTTAAATTAGCATTGTACCCTGGTGCATGAAAATGCAGATTGTTCAGTGCCGGATTAAACATTTGTGGGCCTCCAGGCCAGGGATTTTCAAACTTTTATAAACACTTTACTCCTTTTTACCAATAAACTTTTTATGTACCCCTTCTTAGTTAGTAAACTAAAATATATATAAAAAATTTAAAGATCCACACATAATGCAAAATAAAAAATTAAAAGATCACCACAATGGTTATTTTTACTGATTATATGTATAAATAATACGGCTTATGGTGGAGGGGGCATGGCCCATTCCCCATAGCTACGGCACTGCATAGTTTAGTAAAAAATGCTGCAACCGACAGTATATACTTTTATAATCATAACTAACAAAAACATTTATTACATTTTATTAAATTAGCTTATTAATTATGACACTTGGATGTTTACCACCTTAATTAAATAATAAATTGATAAAATTAAAAGAATAATAATAATGAAATATAAATAGGTATTTTTGTAAAACGAGAATAGTCATATAAAAAGGTAATAGCATTGTTAAACGTAGAACAAATCAAACAAATGTTGGACAGTCCTGTCCAATGTAGTACGATTGGCAACCCTAGCATAGCTTAATGTCGTGCCAATATAATTTTAATATATTCGACTGTGTATTTGGTATATCAGCAGACGCGTTTAATCAATGATGAATTAAACGGTTGGTTACAGTATCGTTTTAAGCCTGAAATTCGCAAATGTTAACTTGAATTTTGGAGTTTTTTCCACTATTTAAATTTAAAAGTTTGTTGGCCAAACTTGTACACTTTAAAAAATGTCGAGTACCCCCAAGGGGTACGCGTACCACGGTTTGAGAACCACTGCTCTAGGCAATTAACATTTTGGGCCCTACAAAATTATTTTTTACATACATCTTTAACATTACTATCCAATAATTAAAATAAACAGCT